TATACCCCAGAGGAGAAAATTTCAAGCCCCGGCCGAAGGCCGTCTACCTACCAAAATTACAATGTTTAGAAAAATTATGGATCGCGTAGCCGGTGTTGGACATACCTTAGGGGAAAAAATCTCAAGCCCCGGCTGAAAACCGGCTACTTACAAAAAATTATATCGTTTAGAAAATCTATGGATCACGTAGCCGGTGTTGGACACACCCCAGAGGATAAAATCTTAAGCCCCGGCCGAAGGCCGGCTACTTTCAAATGCTTAGATACATATTAGTGGAGAAATTTTCAATTTCATAACATCACATATATCTTTGGAACTATAAGAGATATCAGCACATTTTGGAAAGGGAAGAATATAGGCTATAATGTAGCATGTACATCTCTATACACCATAATGGGTCTATTTTCAAGTTTGTAGGCGTTTTTCAAAAACTACTGGTATAAAAATACCAACTTTCTTGCATTACTCCGGAACCGGTTCCAATAAACCTATCATATGATAACTTGTTGGATAGGCAATTCCATAAGCTTTCAAATGATTTCCATTTTGTACATAACGGTTTTGCAACACCGGATAAAAACCTTATTTTGTATTCGAACTTTCGGGTCAAATAACCGGGTATTTCCCACACGAAAAAATTACTTTCCCTTAATCAGGTTAAAAATACCCACCTGCGGTAAAAATTTCAAAATGATCCGAGCATAGCCCCTAAACTCAACTTGCTCCGAGAACTACTCTAATTTAGGGATACCTGAATGGGAAATTGGCTGGAAATATATACGACATTGACAAAGTTTCTTCTGGGCTGAATTCCGTAATATAAATAGTATTTTAACAGATATTAAGCATTTGTTGAAGTTATATTACTATATCCAAGACCAATAATCACAAATTCCAATAGAGTTTGCGTGTATATAAACACATGATCATCGTAAATGGACAATAGTAAATTATTTTGTCGGCTTATACCATTCATATTCCATATTTAACGTTTTAAATAATAATCCGCACTTATAAACAACCGCACTTATAAACATTTACATCTTTAACACATAAGTGCGGTTGTAAGATTGGTGGCTCTTTCCGAAACCTACGTATGCCTTACCCCTTGGTAAACATTACCATCGTTCTCCACTAATAAACAAACGTTGTTTTTATAAGAACAACAATAAAGGGATAAAGCCCGACCATTTTGCAACAACAAAATACTACGGTATCCCGAGCAAACAAGCCAACAATGTCTTTCTAATTCCAAAAAAATATTTTCAAATTGAAACCGCAAAAATAAATAAATAAATAAATAATAGAAAACATCTGATTGAATGTCTAGAATTGGAAGAAGAAATTTGTCCAGCAAGAATTTGCAAACTCTCACTAAAATAACTGTCAAAATTTCTCTTTCCAATCGCTGTCTTTTGCAGAACTTTCGGGTTAACAGAGGGCTTCCAGTAACAATTGTATTGTATATATATATATATATATATATATATATATATATAAAACGAAAAATATGGAGAAGATATGGATAATATATACATATATATATATATATATATATATATATATATATATATATATATATATATATATATATATATATATATATATATATATTATATATATATATATATATATATTGGATTGGAAGAATGGTCCTGGAAGCCATATTGGCCAATGGAATTATCCTGTTCAAAGGATTTGTCCAGAAATGGACAAATAACTCATAATCTGTCCGATTGACCCACAATTTTTATTATGTCAATGGATAGTACTTTTCATAAGCTTTCCATTGATGTGCAAATTGGATTGGAAGAATTGTCCTGGAAGGCATGCTGGACAATGAATTATCCTGTTCAAAGGATTTGTCCAGAAATGGACAAATAACTCGGAATCTGTCCGATTGACCCACAATTTTTATTATGCCAATGGATAGTACTCTTCATAAGCTTTCCATTGATGTGCATATTGGATTGGAAGAATTGTGCTGGAAGGCATACTGGACAATGAATTATCCTGTTCAAAGGATTTGTCCAGAAATGGACAAAGACCTCGGAATCTGTCCGATCGACCCACAATTTTTATTATGCCAATGGATAGTACTCTTCATACGCTTTTCATTGATGTGCATGTTGGATTGGAAGAATTGTCCTGGAAGGCATATTGGACAATGGAATTATCCTGTTGAAAGGATTTGTCCAGAAATGGCCAAATACCTCAGAATCTGTCAGATTGATCAGATTGACCTCGAAATATTGGTTTCCCATATAGGAAAGTATATATGGATCTTCCTAGCTCGCCGAGCTGAGTCGATCTAGCTATGTATGTCCGTCCGTCCGTCTGTCCATGTTAATTTGTAATCACTCTACAGGTCGCAATTATGGCCCGATCTTCACGAAATTTAGAATGGAGGTGGGGTTAAGGTCAGAACAGAACCCTACTCATTTTGAAGATGATCGCATAATATTTAGGGGTTGAAATGGACCAAATACTGAAAAAATGTCGGATTTTGCAGTAGCTATACAGGTCGCAATTATAGACAAATCGACGCGGAGTAGCTAGAGTTTAGGGCGGGGAAGAAGCCTACCAATTTTGATGGTCATCGGATAATATTTAGCGGGTAAAATAGACCATATCTTTTTTGTTGAAAAAAATCAAAATTTTTCATTAAACCGCGAATATTTTAAATCCCGGCGAAATCACAAAGCCATGACAAGGTTACTTCTAATCTTTACAATGATGTTAAGATCCAACAAATCGGATATATAGCAAAATATATGTCTATCAAATAAGATATGCTTGAAAGATCTCATATATGTCGAGAACGGCTGAACTGATTTCGACAGTTCTCATTAATACAAAATGGCCTCTTGGCAGGAAAGAAAAAACGCCTAAAAACTCGCATAAAAATATCTCTCTAAAGACGAAAATATTGATTTTGTAACATTTTCTCATATTTTTGGCATATTTTCATTTTGAATTAAACATTTGGTAATATTTCTACAGCTAACAAAACTAAGTAGTTAGGATATCAGGATATCATACACAGATCGCATTTATGGACCTGTCCTTACGAAATTTTGCATGGGCATAAGATGAGGGTCAGAATAGAAGTCTAATCTTTTTGGAGATGATTGCCGTATATATTTAGGTGTTGAAATGGACCAAAAAACTGAAAAATTGTCAGCAGGTCGTAATTATCGCCCGATTCTCACGCACATTTGAATGGGGGTTACCGGACATTGCAAAAGCCAAGCAGTTTTGGATGGCCATCCAAAAATATTCAATGTGTGAAGGAGTTTGCCAACTTTTGTAGACAAAATACGAAAATGTCCATTCCAGTGACTTTTTGGAGAATTCACAAATACAGGAAAGACGCACTTCTGACTATTTCGTTAACGCTGATTTCGTTGAAGAATATAGTCATATAGATGCGTTTCAGTCAACAACCAATAATAAATGTTAATCTTTTGCCACTTCTAAGATATTATAGGTCTTTGGGAAATATTGGTTCCAGATCTAGGAAGACCATTTACAAATAAATTGGAAATGAGCAAATTAGTTTAAGTTGCTATTATTCGAAAATTAGAGAACGAAACCTGTTAGTTTTCTTTTATTATTTGTCACAATATCTTGTGGAATTCTTTGGAGTATCTCGCCTATATTAACTGTATCATTTATTATAGTGTTGTAGGGTATTCAACGGTCGGCCCCGCTCGACTGTAGCCTTTGAGCCTTTGCTTACTTGTTTTATTATGCCAATGGATAGTACTCTTCATAAGCTTTCCATTGATGTGCATATTGGATTGGAAGAATTGTCCTGGAAGGCATACTGGACAATGAATTATCCTGTTCAAAGGATTTGTCCAGAAATGGACAAAGACCTCGGAATCTGTCCGATCGACCCACAATTTTTATTATGCCAATGGATAGTACTCTTCATACGCTTTTCATTGATGTGCATGTTGGATTGGAAGAATTGTCCTGGAAGGCATATTGGACAATGGAATTATCCTGTTCAAAGGATTTGTCCAGAAACGTACAAATAACTCGGAATCTGTCCCATTGACCCACAATTTTTATTATGCCAATGGATAGCACTCTTCATAAGTTTTCCACTGATGTGCATGTTGGATTGGAAGAATTGTCCTGGAAGGCATATTGGTCAATGGAATTATCCTGTTCAAAGGATTTGTCCAGAAATGGCCAAATACCGCCGACAGCTTTTCATAAATTTTTTAATTAAAGCTATAGTTGTTGTTTATCATAAAAAAAATAAATTCTTTGATGACTAAACATTAGAAAATAGAATTTTTAAAAAAAGTAACAATTTTCTTCTGTTCTGTTAAGTTTAACATTGCTCTGTTAATGGCTCTGTTAACAGAGTGGTTTATGTCTCCGCTAGATAAATACGGTATTTATCTTAATGGACCTTGCATGACGTTACCTTCGTAATTTTTCCACGTATTTAACCTTAATCATGGGATTAACGGATTTGTTTCAAATGCTGCATTTATAGTTTGTTTTTAATCGAATATACCACCGGTGTCAGAACATTGTCCATATGGGTCCATATAACGATGCCGCTCCGTATTCCGTATTTTGTTAACTCTGGCAAAATTTTTTCACGAAATTGTTTCAGATATGGCATTAAAGGCTACCAATATATAACAACACTTTTAGTGGAAATTGTCTTTAACGGTTTACTTAATTGTATTATGAAAACTTGAACTGCATTCTACAACCGTTCTCACTAATATTTGCTTTTTAAAGTACAACCCCAGATAGTTTTATTTATAGTATTATGTTTTCTTTATCTCTTGATGGAGGAAATTTTTGCTCGAAATTTAAAAACATGTCATATCAACTTTGGATTTTTATTGTTATTTTATTTTTATTTGTTAATTTTTCCCTTGTTCCCATTTTTTATAAGAAGAAGAAGGGCGTAACACAATTTGACGTAAATTACAAATTTATTAACCAATTTATTACATTTCTTCTAGATATTTTCTGCAGGAAATTCAAATGGGAGAAACTCTTATAGCACGTGGTGATTTTGAGAGTGGAGTGGAACATTTGGCAAATGCTCTAGTGGTTTGTGGACAACCCGCGCGTTTATTGCAGGTTTTACAAACAACTTTGCCACCACAAGTATTTGCTATGCTTATATTAAAAATGCAAGAATTCGGAAATAGATCAAGTGGTGAAACTGAAGAAGTTCCAAAAATTGTATCGGCTAACCAGTCTGATATGGCACCCGTGGGAATGAACAGTTCAGCAGGAGGCGTAATAATTGATGACCTCGAATAGTTACAAACGTTAACTTTTTCAGACTTTTATTATGTAGCGTTCCCGTAATTAATTTTTGAAATGTTTTATTTGTTGGATTCCAAATAAAATAAAAAATTATTCATCTTGTTATGAGAGATTCTGCATTTTGAATTCATGGGTGGCATTCATTGAATCATATAAGGGATGATTGCGAATTGATATACAGGGTGAGATGAAAAAACTGCAATTAACTTCAGACTGCTGTCATTTCTAAGTCACTCGTCCGACAGCTGTTAAAATTATTCCAGTGACAGCTCATTATATTGTTTACAAGCGTACAAAAGCATTTTGGTGAGAATTTTCCGGAAAAAAATTTATTCGTAATGGAATTCTTTATATTTGGCTGGAAAACCACAATTGGCTATCGTTAGAGCACTCCAGCATATAAATGTGAATAAATCTTTTGTGTCTCGTACCATCGCTCGTTACCGTGATACTGGTAGCGTAGCCCGACGTCAAGGAAGTGGACGGAAGAAAACCGCAACATCAGCAGAAAATGTTCAAAAAGTAAAGAAAAGACTTGATCGAAACCCGCGTCGCAGTGACCGAAAAATGGCTCGTGAGCTGAACATATCGCAATATTCCATTCGGCAAATATTGCAAAATGAGCTCGGGGTAAAGTCATTGAAATTCCAAAAAGAACTAAAGAGTTGCTTCGCTCGGGCGAACGTGGCATCAGAAAAAATGCCGAATATTATCGCGAACATATTCTGGATGGTGTATTAAAGCCTTTGACACGCAAACATTTTGGCCGCAGACCTTGGACATTCCAACAGGACTCAGCACGGACCACCCAAGAATATTTACAAAATGCGGTTCCTCGCTTCATTCCCATCGCACAATGTCCGCCAAAATCTCCGGATACCAATCCATTGGACTATTGTGTCTGGAGTATTTTGGAAAGCAAGGTTGGCACTAAAAAATACAAAAGTGTCGATCACATCAAGCAAGCGCTTCGCCGGGAATGGGCCAAAATATTTTTCATTCAATAAAATTTAAAAAAACATGTAAAAATTATTGCGTGTGACTTTGTTGCAGTCCAAATATTACCTTAACGATAAAATTAGAATCTGTTTTTGAAACGCAAACGGGTTAAGCCGGGATAAATACGAAGTCGATATTCGATCATTCAACATACACATTCTACTGATATCTGAAACTCATTTCACTTCAAGAAATTGTTTTAAAATAAGCGGTTACAGTATATGTGAAACTGCGGTGGTGCCGCGATTTAAATTTATAATAAAATGCATACCAGAATTTAAGTCTGACCACATACAAACTACATCAATCGAATCGATGATGACGTGGATACGAATATGATCGAATACCTTTCCAATTTGAATAGCCAGTACTGATTTGTGATTTTTTGTGGAGATGGTTTTGGTGGCAAAGAAGACTATACCTAGAAGGGCATTACACGGCTTTGAATGCTACTTGCTAAACGTAACTAGTTTGCTAAACGATTCGAAGCTATTCGTTGGTTCTAGAATAGTGCCCTGCTTGGATCAGCAAAAACATTCGCAATAATAACAATTATATGTTAGAAATACCATAGATAAATGAAGATATAGACAACGAAGAGTTAGTTTTGTCTTTTTATCCAGGTGGCTCTCTTCATGTTTTGCATAGTCAACATGCTGATTTACGCGTTTAAGCCACTCGACTTCGAAAACACATTTTATCGCTTTTCAAGAATTTCACTGGAATATTCCCATATTTTTTGATGTCATCACGTACGCAATTATGCCAAAACTACCCTGGTTTGACCAGGATGGAGGTGTACCCCGAGGACGGCATTCATTTTTTAATCGCTGATGGCCTCTCTGACTGCTTCCGTATGAATGCCTCTCAGGCCTACATGATAGGCTTCTTGATGTAGAGGCTCTCCCTTATAGCGCTGGACCTCTCTCTCTCTCAAGATCAAGTATGTCCTTCCTGACACGCCTGGGTGAGGAGAGTATTATTCACACCTAAGCAGGTACTGCAACGAAAGCACGTGGTTATGCTGACGTACCGGAAGGACCCTCGTCTGCTCATGTAGATGATCGACATTTAATTTTGTGGCGGATATTTTCATATTCCTTGTGTGGAAGAAGGCGGCAAGCTCCGCGTGATAGCTGTTCAACCTTACACATATGTCAACATTGGGGCTCGACGCCTTGATCGTACTATCATCCGCATACGTAACGATCACTATGCCGTCTAGAGGGCATGGAATTTTGGAAAGGTATAGGTTAAACAGTTCCGGAGATATCACTCCACCTTGGAGAAATCCCTGTTTTACTCTGTGGGGTTTGGACTTATTGTTCCGGAATTCCACATACGACTGACTTTCACACATATAGTTGATAATCCAATGTTTCAAAATTGGCCGGAGGGCAGTTCTCTCTACTACTTCAAAGAGTGTGGTGTGGTTGAAGGTATCAAATGCTTTTGAAATGTCAAGGGCTACCAACACTGTTTTGTGACATGAATTGTTCTGGTTTAAACCTCGACTAAAATGTGACAAAAGCGAAATCGCCCTGTATGATTCGCATTTCTTGGCATCCTTACCTGGTTTCAGTAGGGGGACTTCTCGGCCCCTTTACGTGACTGAGGTTCTATCATCGATTTTCCGTGTTCGAGAGCGATTTAACCGTTACCAACAGCATACTCATATCGGTTCCAATGTTGCAACACTCCATATGCTCTAGCCGCTTTTTGATCTTATGCTCCTGTACCAACCGGTTGACTTCCAATGTCAAATCACTGATTCTAGGATTAGTAGGTCACATCATTTATCAGACGGGGTGACACTATGGTTAAGTCTAGCGAACTGTGACACTCCTCTTATTCGGGTGGGGACATCCTCGTTAACCGTGCATAATGTAGAGCAGTCAATCTGCTCTGCCAGCGCTGATCCCCTCTGGTCATTACCTAGGACGGAATGCCACAGCGCACGGTTATTGCCTAATATCTATCGGGCTAATATCTGGCAAATAACGCGCTTCTCAGCTATCAATCGGCAGGAATTACATTCAATGTAGGGGATACTTGAGACTAGCTCAATCGAGATAGATCTGTATTGAACAGAATGGTGTAACTGGGACGCCAATCCCCCATCACCACTTCTGGCGCGATCCCTCCTCAGTACGTTGTAGCCATAATAACGTGAGTCTGGTTTCCTGAATTATAGCGATCAAAATACCCCTCCGATTTAAAATTCCACTATCTCATCTATTTTGCCTTAGAGTATTCAACTGTAAGAACGATGCATAATCCAAAGTTGGGACAGCCAACATGCTGTTCGGGAGGCTGCGGTGGAGTTCCGAACTCCGTCGAAGACTCAGAAGAGGACGACTAAGACGTGGAATTTCTGGGGACTACGTTGTTGCAGCACGTCCCAACATAATTCCTATCGCGGGCAATTATTGCCTTAAAATTCAAAACTATATGGAACGCTCATGTCTTGTCATTTGATATGCCGGTGATCTTGTTGCGAAAAATACCCATTGCCACATAATGTTGCTCGGTACTATCAGGGTGATATCCCAGTGCAAAATGCTCTGAAAATAGAATTGACCAAATAATGAAATAATTGAAAAAAAAAAAAAAACGTCAACAGTATTCTCTGCTCTTTTTTTGTAAAAAAAACAATGACCTCCGATCATTTATTACGAGCGAATAACGGTTTTCGTCAGTGAGTGTCTTTCAACGCGTGCGATAGTGCTTGTTTGTAAAGAAAAAAATAGTGGTGGCGTCAACTTAATAATCGATTTAATCGATTAATAAATATCGATTAAATTAATAGTAAATAACACTCTAAAGATCATTTTATAACGTGAAAAACATACATAATAAAGCATTTTTCTGTTATATTATTTAATGCCGACGTTAGAAACAGAAAAAAAGAGATTTGCCCGTAGTCGGCAGTGTGTGCCGATTACTAGAAAAATATCATTTTTGACCTATTTCACCAAATTTTGAGAAAAGTATTTAAAAAATAATCCAAAAACTACTCAAATAAAAAAATAGTTTTGAGTCGGCGGTTGCTTTTATTTGTGCTTTTTGACCAACTTTTCTAAATTAAGTAGGTTTTTTTAAATCAGCTATTTGACGTTTTAGATAGCGGTGACATTTAAAAAAATATATTGGTTATCTAAAGGAAAAAGATCAATTCACAAATTCCAAATATAAGAAAGGTACTTTTTTATTTTTGTATTAAATCTCATTTTTATTTTAACTGAAAATCCATACGTTACTGAAGGTAATGATAATTAAATAAAACACTATTTAAAAACGAAATTAATTTCAAATTCTGGATTAAACTGTGAATTAGTAATATAGCATTGTTTTATACTATTTGAAATAAAAAAATATACAAAATATTTTTTTTTACGGAAATACCATATGCCGACTACTGGCAAATAGACATGCCGAGCATTGGAAAATGGTGCCGACTACTGGCAAAAAACTACTATTTTAGTAAAATTGCAAATTTTGCCAATTTAATAAAAACAAATTAAATTTTTGTTTATTATTTCGAAAACTAAACAAAATTTGGAATCTGAACAACTTTTTTTCTTAGCAATTGAAAGATTTTACTCAGAATGTTGAAAGATTGAAAAATCGAAAATTCTAAAAGTGCCGACTACTGGTACAATTACCATATTGACGATTTAAAGCTGCCCTCAGACACACCAACAGTTGGCCCAACTTGTCACTTTTAAGTTGTATGAAAAAGTTGGTCGGTCTCCTCGCACGTACCAACTTTTCATACAACTGTGTACCAACTTTTTATTTACAAAGTATTTTTGAAGCGTCAACATGAACTCGGATGCTCTTGCGCTACTTGGAATTGATATAGTTTTAGAGGAAGAAGAAGAAAGACAACAGCTTATGTATGTGCTGCTTCACCAAAGTCAAGACATAAATGAAGAAAACACTGAAGTTGGTACAACTTTCCCGCGCACGCACCAACAGTTGGACCAACTTACGAAATTATCAAAAATTTTTGATATTTCCAACCAACTTCAACCAACTTTCGAAAAAGTTGTACAACTAGCCATCAGACGCACCAATAGTTGTACCAACTTGTCACAAGTTGGGCCAA